TCCCTCAGATGGCAAGCACCAGCTTGGTGGAATCGATGGCAGGAGCAGATGGTGGTGGTGCATTTGGAGGGGTAAGTAATTTGAACCTATTACTTTTGGTAGAGCAAGGCGGGGTGGAGGGTGTGGTTTATATTTCTTTTGTAGCAGGAAAAAAAAAATCAGAGGTACTTCAGTATATTGGTTTATATTCTGCTGATGCTGCAGCTGTGCTGTCCTTAACTTCGTAGCTAAGTTACACCCACAGCTTAAATTCTCCTGTTCCAGATACGTGCTCCAGATGTGTGAGAGCCTAGTTATGGGTAGCCTAGCTGGAGGGAAGTTGATTATTATGTTCGTAGCAGGGGGGGGCAGGGGAGGGTGTGGGGTGTGGGGGGTTTGTTTGTTTTTAAATTCTGATAGGGAGCTACACTGAATACCTGCGGGGAGGAGGGCAACGAGAGACAAGGAAACCTGGCTGGTTAATACTGTCATGTTGTGTAACCCAGGATTTCATCTCCAGAAATTTTGATTAACACTTCTTTCTTAGCGTGCTTTTCATGTTTCTGCCAATACAGAGGAGGAGATGATAGCACTTTCATACATCTCTGGCCTGTAAGTGATTGGCTGCTTCAAAAGCAAAATATACTTTTAAAGGTATTTTTCATTTTGCTCTGTTCAATGTCTCTGACTGCTCCTGAGTCAAACCAGAGGTTTTGAGTCCTTAATAAGGTCTAGTCTTTAGCATTCTTATCTCTCCCTCCTGAAATGTCTTCTGAGAATAACAGATTTTCAGAAAATGCTGTAAGGTCAGCTGAGTTTACTGAAAAAAGCCCCAACAAGAAGAAACAACAACAAACAAAAAACCCCTTATCTGCTGAGACATACTATAGGATATTCTGTATCAGTATGACCTTTTTAATAACAAAGGAGCCATGTACCAGGCTCTTCCAGACCTCTGGCCAAGCTGGTAAGCTACTGGTAGAGTTTACAGGGTATCAATGGAAAGCTGTTAAACAAGCCAGCAACCTGACCTATACAAACAAGAGCTTATTAAAAATAAGCATTTGTAATTAGTGTGCTCCTTGCTGTTTATTGTTTGTTCAAACTTCATATTTTCCCTAAGCAATTTTTTATTTATTTGTAGTCAGCCTTGCAATTAATGCCCCTGTTCCTTGAGTTATAGATGCTATAGTGAGCTAGTTGCTTAATGAAAAAGATGTTTTATATAGCATCTAAAACCAAACACTTAAAAATTTCTGTTGGTCTTAAGTTTCTTAGGGAAATGCAAATTTTAGCTCTAATTAAAAAAAAAAAAATTAGATCTTTTTAGCTGATTATACATAGTTGTGTCAGTGATTTGCATAGTATATCTTGGCACATTAAGTAATTTTTCTTAAGCTGTGTATTTAAAGAAAAATTTAGTTCCTGAGATAAAAATAAAAATGGACTTGATCAACACAAAGCTAAGAATATCCAAAATTGTGTAGTCCTGATCCTGGGATCTTGTTCTGCTGTATTGTAGCAACCGGATAACATCAGCATGAGCAACGAATTCAGATGTAACTTGCAGCTTTAGAAAATACTAATTTTTAATTATGACGTTCCTTTAGAAATATCTCAGTGAGTGCATGAGCAAGTATGTTCTATGCTTAACAGCTTCCACATGTAAACCACTTGGTGGTAGTGCTAGTCAGCAAACTAGTATCTCCTTCCTGTGCTGTTGAGTCCCCTGAAGAGACTGCTGGTGTTTTCTTCAGTGTTGCATGTTAGCGTAACCAGACTGAAAACCTGCTGCAGGAAGTACAATCTGCTTGCAGTACAGCATTGTGGTAACTGTTTGCTGCCCTGCAACTGCTAGCACAGTTTATGCTCAACCTTCTGCATGCGCAAAGAATGCACAAGCCAGTGGAAGATTGTCTTGCCTGAAACTTTGCATGTGTTATGTTGGCATATAGAGAAACACACTAAACAATTTTGCTGCATTACAAAGTACAAAATGTACTATATAATTTAAATTAGTTTCTCACATATATTCAGCATTTCCAGAAGCACCTGCTGATTTCTGCTCCATTGTGGGTGTCAGAGAATCATAGCATCAGAACAGTTTGGGTGGAAAGGGACCTTAAAGACCACCTAGTTCCACCCCTCTGCCATAGGCAGGGACACCTTCCACTGGACCAGGTTGCTCAAAGCCCCATCCGACCTGGCCTTGAGGGCAGCTGTATAAGCATAGTGAGAAAAAAAGATTTGAAACCCCATTTGTTGCTTGTGTATCTGCCCATGTAAGAATCTCATCAGACTGTGTATGTATTGCATGTACAGCATTGAGGCTTAATTTCTACCTGCTGGCCCCGACAGAATGAAATATATAGCAAGTAATAAATAACAGAGCAGTCTCCTGAGCCCATTGGTTTTCTTGCTGTTCCCACCAGCTCTTTGGTGTTTCTCCTCGACTTTTCAGAAGCAAATGGAGGCTCCAGTGGTTCACTAATGATGTGATGTCTGCTTTCCTAAGCAGGCCAGCCACAGGCCTTCACCTTGCAGTCACTTAGCTCTAGGTATGAGTTGTACCTCTTGCTGGCACATATGCTTTTCTTCCACCAAAATTTTAAAATTGGAGGAAGCTGTCAAGATTTAAAGAGTTAAATGCAGCTGTAGAGTGAAAACAAATTAGTGGTCAAAACAGTCCAGTCTGAATGAAGTTACTGTAGATCCTAGCTCTGGACAGATTTTATACAAGTGTCCTTTCCTGTCAGACTCACCAGCTTCAAAACAGAGCTGGGTAAACCAAGAAAGATGAGAAATATGACAATTATTATCGTGATGTTCAAGTTGAAGCTAGGGCAGCTTTGTATTAGCTTGCCTCTTAACATATATCAACAGTAAATAACATAGCTTGTGTAATAAAAAAAGGACACAGTTGCAAAGTGACTGTTAAATTTTATCTTTGATGAACTTTGAAATTTTACTTTGATGAATTACAATGCGTGTACCTGTTATCTACAAAAATTTCTCATGTTCAAATGGTGTATAGTTAAGGGAACGTGGCAAGGTCAACATCCTGAGCCATTGCTGGGTGGGATGGGGAACTGCCCATGCAGCAAAGTCTCATGGTTTTCACAGGAATGGAAAGCAAAGGGCTTCTTAATTCTTTCCCAGTGTCAGCAGTTAAATAACATAATGTTGAGTAAATCTTTCTTCTATAATTGCTTGTTGGAATTTGCCGAGTCATAAAGAAAATATATTTTCATTTTTATTATCTTTTCTGCAGCTGCAATAGCGATGTTTCAAACTCTTGTGTTCTCACTGTATTCTCATAATGTTGAGGAATATGAAACATTGCTTATGTTAAGCAAACACTTAAAGACCTCTTTATCAGGGCCTTTTTTGAGTAGTGAAGTTAGTATTAAATGCTTGTTCTATGCTACAGCACAAGTGAAAATATAATGGTCTAAAATAAAAGCTCATGTGTAACTGTCATACAAATCTTGCCCAATATAATACCCTTTCTGCTTTCTTTCTGTTGTCAAATATATGGGCCATGTATTTCTGAAAGTGAACAGTGTCCAGACTGTTTCACACTGAGGAGGAAGTCAAATACGAGATCCATTAGAGGAAGTATTCAACTTGAGTCTTATCTGTGTTACAGAAACATGCATGTGGGTGGTGATAGATATTCCTATTGAAGTACAAATCAGGTTAACCAATTTCCACATGAAGCAGGCCATTCAATTCATGTTAGGGGAACTTCAGCATTTTTCCTATGCAGACACACGTAGGTATCGATTGCAAGCCAAGAACTGGTTTTGTTCAGCACTGATCAATATTATCTTCCAGTCACAGCTCACAAGGCTAAATGGTGCCTTCATTTATACTCTTACTCTTACAGGTAACACTAGTGAAATTGTTGTTAACGTAAGATTCAAAAGGCTTATTATGCTTATATGGAAATTTTAAGTATTAAGAGGAGAAAAAATAAGGTTGACTGGTGTGGAAATGCTCTGATCAAACTTAAGGGGAGTCCATCCCTAGCCAGTGGCAGGAAAATCAGTCTTCTAAAAAATTAAATAGCATTAGCATCAAAATCAGAGTAAGATATTGCTAACTTTAGCCAATATATATGATACAAATAAAAAAGTTACTCTGTAGATTGTGGCTGATCAGTAAAAAATTTTCAAATTGCCTTAATTACATGCCCAACTCGAAGGGGTCTGATAGAGTCTGAAAGGACCGTTTTTGCCAATGATTCATCTGAGGCATTGTTTGGTTGGTGTAATTCAGTGTTATACTGGTTACATCTGGTTCTTCACAAGAAGAGTGAAATACTGCACTCTGCTTATGTGTGGGGGAGGACTTGGATTTGCAGGCATTCTGTTTTGCTGAGCAGTTAATATGTACGTATATGGGGGTATAGTGATTTTCCTGAATGAACAAATCCGTATGACTCTGCTGCACCAAGCTGAATTGCAAAACATCCTATGTACTTGTATACGAGTTAGAAACATTGCTATGGCAGCTATAGAAAAGATCATAAAAATGAAAAGATCCACTCCAATTAGAAGTAACTAGTTGTGGTTTTGTTGTGTAATGCCATTACAAGCCAGGGTGGTTTTCAGTAGCTCTGCTGAAAGACAATGTGCTTTCCCAACCAGGGAATGGCAGGGCAGAGACTCAAGGAGGGTGAAAGATGGGAGAGTGGTGTCAGGTTATAAAATTTGATTTTTATTTTTTTTTAATTGGCCTGAAAATCAGTGTAAGTGACTTCTGCAGGTTAATCATAACTAGGTGAGACCTTAGGGCGAGTGGCAGGCTTTCGCTAGTGCTGGTGACACAGACCTGGTGATCCGTGGGCAGGGTCTGCTGATTGTAATTGCTGCTGCCTTTCCTCCCACCCCCACACACCCTCATCCTTGTGTTAAATAAAGTCTTTGAAGAAGGGGAAGTTTGTTGAGCCAATTGTTCTCTCTCAAGTGGACTTAAGCTGTAACTTAGAATGCACAAATGGTTTAAAGGGAAGAGGGTCTTGTCAACATGTCCAGAATCTGTGTAACCTACAATGGGCCTGATCTTCACCTGGTTGATTTTCAGAAAAAATGTAAAATACCTCTGCTCTTTTGATTTAGAGGAAACGTTTCTTCTCCCAGTAGATTGTTAAATGATTGTGTCAAGCAAATGAAGATGAAGAGAGTTATCAAACCTCTTCTCATGAAAGAGCTGTGCCAGAGGAACGTGATGCAGCCACGTTCTTCAGACTTGGATCTCCATGCTGCTTGGCTGGGATGGGGCCTAGGCTTACCTAGACTAGGAGGTGCTGTTCCCTTGCACATAGCCATCCTTACCAGGAAGGAGGAATAGTATTAATTTATTTAAGAAAGAAAACGAAACAGGGGGGTTACTTGAAGTTCTATGTGAAGCTGTATTTTTGTGAACTGCACGTTGTCATGTTAATGCTCTCCAGTTTATCAGAAAACTGTACAATTTGGTTTAATTATACTGAGTGACTTTATGTACCAGCTTAGGTGCTTAGCATAAGAGGCTAAACTTGCCTGGCTGTCTAGACAGCTGACAGAAAGTGTCTTCTGCCAAGAGCAGTTGATAGCAGGTCCCTGATATAGGTGTTCCTGTCTTCCTGGGAAGCTTTATGTCTCATCACAGGCTGGGAGGGAGCCTAAGGAAGCTCCTAAATTAAGCATATGAAGTTGGATGATACAAACATTCACTGCCAGCACCGTTCACTTCTTCAGTCAAGCCATTTTTCCCGAAACCTTCACATCTCCTCATCACAAACAGAAGCGTTTACAACGCACTCACAAAGTCAGCAACTTTTATCTTAACCAAGTTGTGTTGCCGCAGGGAGGAAGAGGCGAGTGCTGGAAGAAAAGCTCTTCTTGAGAAGCCCACATTGCCGGTTCCTCTTCCTTCTTGCCTGCAGATGGTGAGATGAGGTCGCTCAGTGGCAGTAAGGGCACAACTGGGCAGAGAAGGACTTGAGGAATTGGCTTTAGCAATCTGAGATCACGTAAAACCTTACCAGAAACACTGAGCCAGCCATCCAGCTACAGGCCATCAGCAGAGTTGATGTGAATTCTTTTCTAAAATGGTGTGAATCCCAAAGAGGATCTTTGTCAGCAGAACTGTATGAATTGTTTTGCAATCTTTTTCCTAAAAAAAAAAAAATCACATGATTGTACTTTTCATTTCAGAGTGATTCCTGTAGGAAATCTTCCAAATCCAAGCGTGACAAGGAGAAACAGGCTTGCAAGAGCTGCAGTGAAAGCTTTAACTCCATCACTAAAAGGCGGCACCACTGTAAGCAGTGTGGAGCAGTAAGTATCAGAATGCACAGAGCTTTTTAGTTTCTTCTGCAGAGGCCGTTGAAGAGAATGTTTTATTTTTTTCAGGGCAGGAAGTAAAAAATGGTCTAGATCATGGCAGGTCATTGACAGAGCATATCTTTCCACTTGCTTTACTCCCTCGAAATCAGGGGAAAAAAGATCAAAACTCTGGTGCAGTGGGCCTATTCTGTGCCATTTTAAAGGCAGATACAGTGCCTCAGTGGATAAAAAGAAATGTGGTGCCTTCCCTGGGGATGTGCGTGTATCTGGGAAGGGAGTTGTTCCCTATATTGTGTTTGCGGAACCAGAATGGCCTTCAGACAGCCTTACTTCACACAGCAGCTCTTGCTAGGATGAACAGCTGAACATACAATATTAAAGATGGATGGATTCTTCTTTCTCTAAAGCAGAGTTGTGAAGAATTGCTTGTGCTAAAGTGGTTTCCTCCTGCTTGAAAAGTAAAAAAAAACAGCAACAGTCCTGGAGATTTAAGGCCAGGTTACCGAAGGCACTTAGTCACCCTTCCCCAGTGCCATTCACTGACAGCTTAATTCTTAGGGTTTTTTGCTGAAAATCACAACCACAGCCGATATGAGATTAATTTCTGTAATATGACTTGAAACCTGCCTTCTGTGACTTGAATTTCTTGGTTCAGTGTTCCTAATGTAACTGGTACAGAATAATGTTATTTAAATACTGTTATTCATTTGAAGTGGAGATAAATTTTCAGCTGAAGAGAGACCTAAATCTGTGGTTAAGATCTTTGAAGAAACCTCAGTCTCAACAGTTGAAATAAAATTACTGTGGAGGAGACAATTTTGCACTGGGTTGAGATTTTCAGTCTTCCAGGTTTGTTTTTATTAATGATTGCTAAAATCATGATATACCTTTCTGAAGGTTTAAAATGTTCCATTGCAAAGCTCAGTATTAGTAGAGAAATGAAACAATAGATTTCCCTCATGGACAGAGAGATAAGAAGAATTACAATATTAATAATTTATTGTTAAGCAGTTGTTGGTTATGCAATGTTTTGTGATGTGGCAATAGCATTCAAATTAAAGGAGTTAATCCATCTCAAGGAAAGACTGTCATGTTTCTAAAAATACTAACTTGCTTTTGTTTATATAACTTGGCAGAATGGTTCACTTAACACTTACTGAATTAAGGCAGTTACCTTTGTATAGGAATGTCTTGCAGTGAAGCATAGAATAACATATGCTTGTACCTGAAGAGTGTTTGTGGTGTATTACTGTACAGTAAATTGGGAATGGGTGTCGAATTGGGCTGACTGCCCCTGCCTTACACCCCAGGGGGCAGTTTCTCTCCCTGGAGCAGCTGTGCAACAGGAAGTGGTCGAGTCAGGTTTGAAGTGTGAAAACAGGTTCCAGAGCTGCAGATCCGTCACTCCTCAAAAGCACTGGTTTCATGGGACTGATGTGTCATTGTGTCCTCTTGGCAGCTGAGGAAAGGAATCAAAAGTTGTTAATTTGGCATCAGACAAATAGCTTTTAATGGATAATATATTGGACTATGTTCTTAAAATGGCCAGTGGTTTTTGGATTCCTCAGTTCTATCAGGCTGAACTGCCTCATTGATGAGGAAATGTTAGCCACCTTTACTCTGAAAATCAGTCCTTCCTAGACCGTTTTATGATTGGCATTAAAAAACACTGATTGCTTTGTCAGCCTAAGCCCTTTTTGACTCGTAAAGGCTTATAAGAAAAGCAAACTTGCATCATGTTAATCATAAAGTAGTTCCCAAAAGGCTTATGTTTTCTTTCATTAGGTATATTTGTACACAGCATGGGATCACAAAAACATTAATTATTAATGGAGGTAAATAAAGTAAATATTATATTGGTCTCTCTATCTTATATTAGTTTTCTGGATTTTACTTTAGTAACAACCGTTCTGCGAGTCACTTTCTTTGGAGAGGGGTTATGTTTTAGTGATGGCTAATAAAGCACCATCTTTCTGATCCAGGTCATCTGTGCAAAATGCTCCGAGTTTAAACCACTTGCAGATAACAGCCGTCATAATCGCGTATGTAAAGAGTGTTTTCTACAGTTATCAGCAAGCCCATGCAGCCCTGGAGTGGAAGCAGTTGGAGAACAAAAGAAAAGACTAGCGGCAGAGGTACAGTATTTAGCTCTAGTTCTATTTCATCAGAACCAAACTATGTGGAAGAGCTAGACTGAGCAAGAAACATAAACTTGCCAGTGCAGATCCAGAGCTCCTCTAATAAATGCTTCCTCAAATAGTCGTCTTAGACCCTGCCCCGCTCTGCTTCCCAGTATATCATAGTTCTTTCCAGGCTGCTAAATGTACCCACACAGATAAAATTACAGCAGCACAGTGCCCCAGAGTGAACTCTGCTGCTCAGGTGCTTTGTCCAGAAACTCAGAAAAACAAAGTGGTGTCAAGCTACAAATGCAGGTTGTCCTTCCCTTAACTACCATGTCTTCAGAGCACATAGAAGATTCTGGATCCAGAGCTTGATACTTCAGATATGCACTACAGCTATGCCTACAGACGATGAGCACTTAATATGCATCAGTATAGTCTGTGGTATCTCATGGTAAACTTTCTAGCTCTGTTTCAGCAGAGCTATATGCTAGTAAAGTGAAAACCTACACCTACCCAGCCGGGAGCTCTGTTAATCTGAAAAGCCAAAAGGCAAACCAGTGAAATGTAACCTATGGCTTTACTTTAGAAAGTAGAGTACAGCAGAAAGCTGTAAAAACCCAGGGAAAAGAGTAATTTTTTCCCTCGTGTGCTCAGGCTTCTAGCCTTCTGCTAAATCTTCAAAGGATCATGTAAAATGCAAGAAAGTAGGTGCATAAGAAAGAAGGATCAGAGCTGGTCTTTTTCTTTCCCTCCTATTTACATTAAACTTTCTTAACAAACGTAATAGGAGCTGAGGAGATTGCCACTTTACAAATGTTATTAGGAGATGCCAGAAATCACCAGGAGACTTCTGTGCAAAGTCTAATGTGAGCAGGGATTTTGTTTTTCTTTGCTTTCTATCAGAAGACAAAAATTTCTTTCAATCTTTTTTTTTGCCCTAGTGCTCTCTAATTTGGCTCACTTCTCTCTACATTCATGCACAGGAGTGTCTGTTAGTACACCTTTGTGTTAATTTGAAATCATCTCCCAGCCTACTTTGCTGAGCAAGAAACTAGCTGCATCATCTTAATTACCATTCTCAATTTACTTGGTGGAGGTGGAATTTAACTTCATGTCCGCTGGGAACAGTAGTTCAGCATCTGCCTCTATTACATGGAATTGTTCTACTTCTTGATTCCTATAATAATGATTAAACTTTTGTTCAGTTGTGGGCTATCCAGGGTTTGCCCTACAGTATTATTTGACTCTGGACAACTTAAATTAAATATGTTTTATACTTAGTTCTAAATATTTTACCTACGTAAGCATCAATGGAAACAGCTCTTTTTTTTTTTTTTTTCTTCATCCAGAAGCAAAGCATCTTAGCGACTGAGAACAGCATCTTCAGCAGCTACCTCCAGTTCCTTGAAAAAGGGAAGACTTGGTACAAAATGTGGGTGACCATCCCCAAGACTGAACCTCTGGTTCTGTATCTGCAAGGAAGTAGCCAGGTAAAATGGCATTCATGAGGGTTAACACACAAGAAAAAAAAAAAAAAAAAGCATGAGTTGTCAAGCTGAGAAATAGGTCAAAGGATTTGGCTTCATTTCAACAAAAATGAACTTGGTATTCTGAGTATAGCAGAAAGGCTCAGAGATTTCAGATTTCCTTGATATCTGTAGTCACTGCTGATATGGTTGTGAGCAAATGTTTAAGCTCATAGCTTTCTTTACCATTTTTTAACAAAAAAGGACAAAACAAGGATGATTTGGTTATGTTTTGGGTTTTTTAGGTGTTTCAGACAGGTATATTCAAAGGTTTTGTTACCCTGTCATTTGGGAAAGCACTTTCCTGTAAAATAATAGAGCTGCGAAGCAGTCTGAATATTACAATTGCTGGTTCAAGCATTTCTTTTTTTTTTAAACCTAGTTCTGGGTTGAGAGGGTGGAGGAATTTGTGGAAATGTAGATGTTCTTCAGCATGAAAAATGGACTGTGGTAAAGCTCCTTGTCATAGCATCATGTGATTTTTATCTGTATTTGAAACAATTACTGTGGTAAGCTTTTTTTCTTAAATTGTGCTGTTGAAGCTAACTAGCGTTTGTGTGTGATGAAAGTCAAGTGATAGAAATGTCTGTATCCAAGATAGAATATTCAAAATAGAAATATCAGTCACACTTCCTTAGTGCTGAAGATAAAGAATGACAATGCTGAAATGAGATCCTTCATATCCAGTTTTGTATTTGACATTTGACACCTTTATACACAGCTTTGTTTTAACTCCAGGGTGGGACGGAAGAAGAAGTGGGTCCAAATTCAGCCTACCGTTACCATGCTGTAACTATAGTGATATGAAGGGTTTGCTTTTTATTAACATCAGTTTGTATGGCTGTAGCTAGGAACAGTCTGGGAACTAAATATTACCCATGATTTTATAAAGCTGTTCAGAGTAAAGCTTACCCCATAGGAAATGGGATACTTCAACAAGAAGTACACATTGTCCTTAGAAGGGTGTTCGTTTTGCTGCTTGTCAGCAAGAACACCTCTGGTTTTAAAGAAGTGTGTGTGTAATGTTTTAAGCATAGCACTCGAGAGACTGAAAGCTTGAATTTGGAGCTCCAGACACAGCCCACTTGGCTTCGTCTGGGATTTGAACCCCGCACTGGGTAAGTGTCCAACTCATCCTGCGAGCAGTGAGCTGTTTGGCTTCCCTCCTAGTCAACAGGAGATGCAGGACTGAAATTAGAAGTTGAAAAAGCAAATGGCCTCAAATGAAGCGCTAAAACAAATGCAACAAGCCCGATCTATAGATCATTCCAAAGTCAGTCTCGGGAAAGGAAAAAAGCTTTGAAAAGCAAAGCAGAGAGAATGGCTTCTCTGTGTAACTTTTCAACTGATTGAAAGCTGTGCCTTAGCGAAGGACCAGTGCAAGCCCTGTATCCCATACAAACCAAGCCAGAGTGCCTCACACAGGCAAGCCTGGGAAGGAGAGCGGGAATAGAGGGAGAGAGGTCTAAATTCTTTGGCCTTCCTCACCCAGGAGCAATTTGTGTCATCTAAGAGATGACTGGAACAAGGAGTTTAGAGGAAGCAGCACCTCGTACATGGTATGACCTAGAAAGATAATTTCTCCTGGTGCCCAACCAGTTGTCTCAGGACAGCACAAGTAACAACCCATGGGACATAAACTAGCTGTATTTAGTGCACAGCAGAACGATGCTCGATTCTCCAGGCCCACTCCTGACAGTCATGCAAAGCCAGGGTTGGAAACTGGAGGAGCTTCTGTGCTTCAGATGCTATGTTCTTTGTTCTATGTCCTGCCAAATTTGATCTTGAGCTTTTGTTGATATTGTTAGTAAGATCCTATTTTTTAGAGGAAAAGGGTGCCTTTTACACTAATTGTTGATTTTATGACAGTTAAATTTAGTGGTTAGTGTCCTCAGCTATTTCAGGTGTGAGATAAATCTCCCAATACAGCAGCAAGAAAGCATACAGGACAAGGTTGATCTATCTTACATTCAGTAACTAAGCCAGGATTTACTGTCAGGATTGACCAGTTGCAGACTGAGGCTATAAACAACAAAAATTAGTCCCTTCTTCAAGGGCCTGCCATTCCCACTCGTATGCTTTTCTTCAATTTGCATCCAACTGAAGGAAAAAATTAAGAAGCAAATACCAGTCCTTGATATTAACCCAACATTCTTGCTATTCTGGTTTACATAGTATATGCTGGACTTCTGAGAAAAGTCTCTTCCAGAGCTTCTTTCCTGGTGTCTGAATGTCTGAAATCAGAATCAGTCGGGAACCGCTCATGTGCTTGAATGTTATTTTCCCAGGTGTAGTTTTGTTTTGTACAACCACTTTCATTTTTCTCACAAACCTCTTTAGGCCTGCAAAGAATACATTTCAGTGCCTAAAAAAATAGGTGCCTTTTGGGAATAATATTGCCAACAATGGTTTTAAAAGTCTTGAAACACAGACCAAGCAAAGCATGACTGTAGGAGTTTGAAGGTTGGGGGACTATTTTTAAAAAGAACAAAGAATAGCTCCCTCTGGGGAAGAAGGAGTAAACCAAGCTGAGTCTGAAGCTTCTGATACAGTGAAAGCCCTGGCAGCTTTCGTCCTCTGCACCCCTGGACTGGACACCAAAGAAGAGATGCCAGTACAAATGGAAATAAGATTTGCTGGGTTTAAAATAGCAAAAAACCTGCTGTTTTGCTTTAGATCCTTGTTCCAGGAGAATTAATTAATCCCTTGAGTGTTCACAGTTTAAGTCTTGCATAAGGCTTTATGCACGAGGTTAAAATTCACAGCTTATTTAGGTATGGAAATCATACCAATTTTATTTGTCCTCAGACTGAGACAGAATTTGTGCAGCTGTTTGTTGTGTTTATCTGAATGGAATTGTAAGAGTTCGCTTATAAGCAAAGACCACCTCAAGCTGAAGGATCAGTGGTTTTATAGAAATTAGTCTGTCTTTCCAAGGGCCCAACTGGAGCTCCTGCCCCTACTGGCCTTGTAAAATCTGCAGCTACCTCCAGAGCTCTGACATTAACTTACACCTGACTGAGAAATATAGAATTAAGGAGTCCCAGCTAGCTAGAGAAGTAATGAATTTTGGAGAAATATGGAGGGAAAATCTAGTATAGTGAGAGCTAGTGTATGTAATTATCAGGCTTGATCCAAGAGAGAATTTTGCTTTATAAATTCTGAAGAAAAATCTTTTATTCATCATGTAAATGTGATTTACTCCTAGAAAGTGAGGGAGTAGCTGTGTTTGAAGTTGAGCTCAGGGTTTTGGAGAAGTATTTTTGTGGCTTGTCTGTTGACCCTGTTTAGGTGAAGCTTTAATTGGCCCTGCAGAAAACTCTGCCTGTCCTTTTTCATGCTCCTGCAGACCTTTGCATCTTGGCACACCATCACATCACAGGAGTCTCTCAATGACTTGTGCAAGGTTGGAATTAGATCGTAAGTGGGTAGAGAGTGGAGTTTGGGTGGAAAAACAGGGATTTTCTAAGCCTACTCAAAAGTAGTAGGGGAAAATGATAGTGGTCCATCAGTAACTGTTGTTTTGTGTATTTGTGTAAGAGAGCTTACATGCTGCAAAAAGATGTGCAGTGTGAGAGGGATGTCTGTATGGAGGGGTGCATGAAATAGAGCAGCCTATATGGTGGAATTGAGCTATCCGTTCCCAAATCTTAAACCCTGGATGTTGTAATGACCATAAAAGAGCAATAAATAAATACTGCTGTAATTACCTAGATAAATAACCCATTGTATTATGCTGCTTAGAGCCAGGATGAGTGCACAGTGCTTGTGATTACTGACAGTATTACACATCCAGTAGATTTTTGTGTGTCACCCACTATCTCAGGAAAATGATTGCAATCAACCCTAAAGTGAAGCCCTTCTCAGCACTGGGTGGTTGGGTTTGATGAAATATTGGTATCATGCAGCCCTAGTATGTTGCATACAGAAATATTTAAAAAAGCCCTGATTCAACCAGCAAAGTCCAGTAGGCTCTTAAAAATGGAATGTGGAATCTATCTCTCTGTAAGGCCTGTAAATCCTACTGATGTGCTTGGTGTAGGGCCCATATTCCTCGTGAGTGCAGAATAGCCCCTGGATTTGCTGGATGCCAGGTAGGAAGGGAAGGGCTCAGTGGCAGAGGAAATACAGAGATGCTCATGGTCCTGCAGAGAGATCTGGTTTGGGTGTGTGGTATGACTCGAGGCTGAGTGCTTCACCTTTGTCTGTCAGCAGTGCAGCTTTTCAGAGGTAACTTAAATCCCTTCCTTTTGGACCGGGCAGGTACAGAGAAAGTGGCAAAGGCATCATATTAAGCAAAGGAAAGCAGCAAGACCAAAGGCAGTCTGCTTAATCTGCCTGTGTGCGCACATGTTGGGTAGGTGTAACGTACAATTCAAACATCAATTTGTTCTTACGCTGCACTTCTTGGCTACAAATGATATCATTTTTCATTGTCATGGACAACCTCCAGTTTTACATGTGACGAGTCTTAGTGTCTATTCTTCTACAATAAGCTCAGTGAAGCAGGCATGGTTGAGCTTGCATGCTCTCTTGTGCGTTTTGTGTTCATCAGTCCCATATTTGCTTGCTTTAGCACTGCCATGTGTGCAGGTCTAGAGCTACTCGGTATGTGCCAGTTCAAATGTCTGCATGTGCAAGACCTCCCTGTTTATATGGGTGTGGCTGTGGTGACAGGATCTGGAAATTGTATGCTGCTTTTAAGACAAATAATTACACTCAAATAGGTCTTCAGCATTTGATCTAAAGCTGCCATAAATCTCTTTGAATAGTGCTTGGTCCTCAAGCAGATGGACTCTGGCATTTTTGCATAACAATAACAAGTAGTAGATTAATAAATCAGGAAGCCTGTATTGATTTAATAAAATGTATAGACAAGTTTTTGACTGTATTTTTTCCGCTTTAGTTAATGTATGTGTTTGCATTGATGTGTGCAGTTCTGAAACTTGAATTGCTTTAGTCTAAGTGTTAGAAAAATAGATATTTTTTTTTGCCATTGTTCTCAGAGCTGTGGACCCCTTCCAGATTTACTAAGTCATCTGCATTCAGTATGGGATGACAAAAGAATGACTTTGCCACCTCTTTGTGAGATGCCTTGTTAACTTTGGTATGAGGCTGCGACACAAGTAGCTGTTACAAGAGGCGACGGCTTCTTACAGATGCTTTGATACCTGTGTGGTTTAGACTTCAGTTTGGGGACCCGCCTTTGAAAAATGCTTCACTGGCATCTGTTGAAACAAGTTGCTTGGTCATGGCACACCCTGCCTTGCCAAAGTACACCTTTCCTGAGAGCTTAGTAGAGGAGTTGGTTGATGCTCAAGATGTGACTGTTACAGAGCTGTATAACTCGTTAGATCTGTGAGCTAATCTGGCCTTTAGAGGATGTTCAAGAATCTGAGCTTCCACTTCCTTGACAACTCTGAATGGCGTCATGAATAACCCAGGTCCATCTGAGAGGATTCACTGATTGATTTGAAATCTGAAATTCTCTTTTATTTCAAAGTCTCTTCCCTGGTAGTTTTCTTTGTGTCTCTGTGTCCAGCTCTGCTTATTTGTCTCATTTTAACCAACCTTACAAATGTCCCATGAGGTTCGAAAGGGACTACACCGAGCTATTCTCAGGTGGATCTGATTGCCTGTATCTAACGCAAAGGTAAAGGTCTTTTTTGGTAAAAGACAACATGTGTATGTTATGTGAAATTACATGAGAATCCCCAGCCATGCCACTGCTGGATCTGTATTCTTACTGCAAAAGGGAATCTGTTAAATAAGAAGATCAAAGCAGCAATAGCTTATTCCCTTTTATTGTTTTAACTTAAGCAGTCGTTACTGCTTCTTCTCTGTTTCCTGCACTACAGTGCGGCACGAGGAGCCGAATGCATGTGTGCTCTGGAGCTGCATTCGCGTGCCTGTTGCCGCCTGTGTGTGCATTCGCTCTGCGGGCGGGGATGGAGGCTGCGGCTCTAGCGCCAGGGGGCTGTCAGCCAGTGGCACACACCAAGACACCCCGCTTTGGTGAGCGCTGTGGTGTAGCTGCCTGGCCTGAGCCTGGGCCTAGTGGCTGTGTCTCGGGTGTAGGGTAATGCATCTCTAGTCACATCTTACTACTTCAAAGCGAGTTTTAAACTGTTTGAAACAGGCATTTCTTTAATCCCATTGAGAGGAAATCTTTCTTCCCCACGCAGTATACCCCTGCTCCTGCCATTTCTGAATTTTTACACTTGTTCTTTCTTCTTTAGGATGTACGGGGCCCACGTCCTATTCCTCTGCCTGGATATGAAGTCAGTTTACCAGGTTCTGGTGAGAAGTTTGAAGTGAAACATGTTTTTAAGCTTTGCCAGTCCCAGCAAACTCTATATTTCAGTGCAGAAGATGAAGAACTGCAGATGAAATGGATGGATATTCTCACCAAAGCAGCCAAAGGGGAAACTGAAGATACAGCCGAAGGGCTCGGCAACCCATAGAGCAAGTTCCATTTAGTTTCTTTCCTACATACTATAAACCATCACTTGAATTTGTATTCATGGCACTTTGGAATCTGTATGGCTTTATATTTTCATGTGTCTGCAAAGGAAATTCAGTGGTTTCTCTCCTTTTATTGTACATTTCACACATGCAGTAGTTACCTGGCATATATTATGTTAAAGGAAAAGGTAGTTGTAGTTGGTGCTGGTGTCGATGGTGGTTTTAAAACAAAAGACAAGGAGAAAAGCATTAATTTTAACAAAGGTAATGGAAAACCATCAGTCTCTTCTTTTCCTAAATGTATATTTTCCAGTCCTTTTGATTACTGTTCAGTGCAGGATGTGTATAGTCTGTGATTAGTTCTATAAATGCTGCCTTTTAAGTTAAATATTGTAAAGGCTTATGCTGGCCACTGACATTCCGTTCTGTCCTTTCCCTCCTGATAAAAGGTCTTTGTGACATGTGAGCAATGTACTGAGTATTTTCCCTTGGCTAAAACTATGTCTCTGATATTTTGAGATGACCTGTTCACAAGACAAATACTGTAGAAGGGACTTCTAAAAAATGACTGCAAACTGTGCAGAAAAGAACATTAAGAAGCCTCATTGATTTTAAGCATTTATAATATTGGTTTGTTTTCTTTTGAAACCAATACCTTCCTTCCTTCTATTTGAACCCATTTTGATGTAAGTGAACAAACATTTTATACTGCAAACTGGGTTATGATCAATAAACAAGAAAATTTTTAGTATACACAGTACAAAAAGGTGACTTTTTTGTTGTATTGGTTAATTTAAGTGACCTAGGATTTATTTATATAATTTGTAAATAATGTTTCATAAGTATTTTAAGATTTTTTTAAAAGAACTCAGCTAATTAACAGGATTTAGTGCATAGGATAAGAGATATTTCTATGAACTGAATTTGTAATTTAATTTTCCTGTTCAGCTGTATTTGTCTTATTTTCAAACTTAAGCGCTTATCTATTTAAATAAAAATTCATGCAGTTAACTCCTGAGCCAGATTTCCAAGGCACAGTAAGCTTTAGGTCAACATTTAATATAGGTTTAAAAAAACCCCAAAAACAAACAACAAAAGAAAAAAAAAAAAGGCATGTCTGTTCTTAGTGGTAGTAAGCATGTAGTACTGAAAAATGAAATAAAATCTTGTCACAGTACTGTATTTTTAAATGGTTTCATTTAACTTTTGTTTCCTCTTCAGCCTTCTATATTTTCTGATATTGGTAGAAAGAAAGAGCTACTCCATACAGCCAGAGTTTGTTAGGATTGTTGAAAATTAGTGATCTGCCTCAGTGAGTGCTTTTCTTACCTGCAGAAAAGGATTTGTTTTTTTCCTTGTTTGGGGTTTGGTTGGTTTTTTACATTGGTGTAATAAATCATGTAACTGAAGTCCATGATGCTAACAATTAGAAGCTATGTATTTAATTAGCTACTGATAAAATTTCATGAGACTTGCATCTTCCCTCTCCTCCTTAGTCGCCCCCTCTGACCAGTTAGCATGAAGAAGGTTTCATTCAGAGTAGTTTTTATCATATAGGTCATTAAAAGGAATTCTTTTCAGGGTGTGTTGTTTCCTCCCCCAAGCTTCCCTGAAAATGTAGCAATGTAGAACGTTTTCCTTGAAAATTTACTCATTTTGTAATATTTCTGGATTGGAGTTTTTGTGGGTTTTTTGATTGTGAGTTTTTTGTGTTGTTGGTTTCTTTTTCATTTAAAGATTTTTTTCCTTTATTTTACTCTGCTTGCTTGATTCTTTTTCTTTGTTACCAAGAAAGAAATGGGAAGAGAGAATTGCAAACCAAAACAAAACTAATGCATTTTAATACATCTTTAATTTTCTATTTTTATTAACCAAGAAAAAAAAAAGCACACATTTTTTGCAATTTTTCTCCGTTTTGTTCTTTTTTTATAACTAAGTACATCAAAATACACATCCAGTGATTTTACATTCCTCAGTTATAAAAAGTGTTTGTAGTATTCCTGCAATGTTAACACAGGATGGCACCCATGGGCATTTGTGTCACAGTTCTCCTGCAGCAGCTTTGTTTATAGCATGTCTTTCCACTGTGAGGGGACATGGCAAGGAACCTGCCTGGGGAATCTCTGCTTTATGACTAAGCCCCAAATCATCAATAGCTTTTATAGTCTAAAGCCAGCAACTTAAACCTTGTCTGGAAAACTAATGCAAGTCCATTACAGATGCCAGAGCTCTGCTCTTCTTCAGTACAACATGAGAATGCTCAGCCTAGAGATTGAAATGCAAGAGCTAATGGTGTTACAGATTGGGATCTCGCTCCCTCAGTCATGGTCAGCAATATGACGTCCAAATCAGTGGCATTTCTCCAACAGACAGTTATCTTCTTTCAAAGCCTGATCCAGCTCCTGGTGAAGCTGAAGCAACAGTCTCTCTTGACCGCAGTTGGAGCTGCATTGTATTGGAGTGAGCCAACTCTCATCCTTTTTGAGGTGTTATTCAGGCTTTAGATTATTCTTTCTTGTTCTTGGGACACATTGTGTGTTGTTTACATAAGTGAAATCGGTGATATGAAGATTGAGAACATGATCCTGGGAGGTGAATCGCAGAATCACAGAACAGCAGGGGTTGGAAGGGAGATCATCTAGTCCAACCTTCCTGCTAGAGCAGGTTCACCTAGAGCAGATCACACAGGACTGCATCCAGGCAGGTTTTGAATGTCTCCAGGGAGGGGACACTCCACAACCCCCCTGGGCAGCCTGTTCCAGTGCTCTGTCAG